TTTTTTATTTGGCATATTTTCTGATAACATGTCATGACAAAATTTTAGATAAGGAAATTCTCTAAAAATAATATAATTGCACAAACTCAGTATAATCAACAGTTTTCGAGATATTCTCGTTTTTTAGGTTTTTAACTTATGACGTCATGGCGGCCATATTGAATTTCTGACCTACTTAAAATATAGGCATCGACAAGTTCATATACGTATCTACAAATATTTGAATAGAATGTATGTCTAGCTTTTACAATTTAAAAGATTACGAACCCACAAAATTGGAAGAAGAATAATAAGAAAAAGAATAATAATAATAAGAAACAGAACAAAAACAATAGGTCTTTTCACAAGTTAGTGAAAAGCCCTAATAAGAATAATAAGAAACAGAACAAAAACAATAGGTCTTTTCACCACTTAGTGAAAAGCCCTAATAATAAGAAACATAACAAAAACAATAATTTGGTGAAAAGCCCTAAAAATGTATCGTCTAAACCTCTGAACACTATGAAACGACTACAAGAAATTTAACGCTATGTCATTGGTTTAATATTGAACGACATCATTATGCTACCGTGAACAACTAAGGTAAAGTGTCTTACCCAAGGATAGAACCATGGCACACAGGCCAGTTCATTTCACAACTTTGTAAAAAAAAAACACAAATCTCCGCGCGTTGGGATTGTCGAAGAATGTACGTGTACCTTGATATTCACTAGAGAGATATTTTATTCCACCGACATCCTCCGTTTAGCGATCAGGTGGTATATTTACCCCCTCTTGTTGGTATAGGGTGTATAGTTACCTAACGAAATGGCTAATTCAGTATTTTAATATTAATCCTGACATGATGACTTTACATCATAGCGTCAATTTCATATATCTTTTAAAAAGAATTTGTTTTGCAACGGGTAGAATTCCTCTCAACGTTCCTCTCAGCAGATAATAAATGTGCCTCATCCCTGGTAGAATATGACAATTGTAAAAAATAATGCCTTCCATTGTAGAATGTGACCGTGGTACGAATATCTTCCTTCTGTTGATCTTTGTTACAGGTATGGCAATATGTCTTATGTTGTACAATAAAGCCATTATAACAATATAATCCTTCTGTTGCACATTATAAATTATTTAGAAAAAATATCCCTACTCTTAAAGAGTGCTACCTTTATTACGAAGACATCTATTCCGTTGAGCTGTTTTTTGTTGAATGTGACCTTGATTACAAGCATATCACTACCTTGGCTGAATATGAGAAAAAACATGCATGTCTCTAGGTTTTAATGTTTTATGCCCAATCATGAGCACGCATGTCTCTATATCTATCGTAATTTTAAACTTTAAACAATTTGTATTATACAAGAAGCATGGAACCGTTGAATCATGCTGGCGATCTACCTGTAGAAGAATCAATTAAATGTAATGTACAGTATAAAATAAACTGGTAATCGCCGCGTGTCTCAAAGTTGGCTATACACCTCATCACAAAGGGATTTCTGGTTGGTTCTGAGGACATAAAAGGCACCTATTATTCGGAAGGGATAAAGCTTTGTCACAGGAAGTATATACAGTTCTTTTAAGACAATGAGGTCTATCGTTTTAAATGCCACCCTAATGGGCTCGCGTGTGTGCTACGTGTCTTCTTATTTCTAATCGCTTTGGAAAATCGGGAGTAGCAAATTCGGCTGTCTCTGATAGTTCGTTGTTTTCAGGTGCTTACGACCCATGTTTTTCAAGTATTTATACCATGACGTTATTTGAAATATTGATACAGTAAATTTATTGTATAGTTTGGGGTTGACTGTTCATCATAAGATATCTCTGCATAAACCATGTCAAATTATCGGTTTTTTGGTTTCCAGAAATAATCGGATTCGTATTAGGAACGTGTTACTTTCTACCACCAGCGAACAACGCATTTATTCACAGCAACAGCAACAAGCACCAAATACCTCCATTGTAAAAATGCGACTAGGGGTATTTCGTCTGTCTCGGGAAACCTCCATTGCACTACTTTTCAAAACAGGCTACATAACCCATACTGTCATTGTGATGATACTTCAGAAAGTGCCAATATGGCACATGTCTTGACATAGTCATGTTTTTTTGAGTTAAGGAAAATTGATCATATCCCCGAAGATAGGAGTTATATGATTATGTTGTCTCGTTTATGTAGTCTGTTGATTTAACAATCGCCTAGCTTTCAAACATGGGATGGTACAATAGTGTTCGATTATTTAAAAACTACTTCACCTGCAAACGCGTTGTCCCTTCTTGAATGTTCATGCAAGCCGGCAAAGTGGCCAGTCTCTCCATTCACTATCATTGATTAACCTGTACTTAAAAACTGATAAATTGACCATTAGGTTGTCCATTATGCTGAAAACATCTACATCTAGCTAGCACATGACGAATTTTTTTCTATCAAGAAATATGAGACGTCAAACTGTTATTGATGAAGACAGAACTCACCTGTTAAGAAAGGAGGGGGGGGGGTGAGCTCTTTTGTCGGTACCTTTAAATGCAGTTTCGGGTATCTGTTGCTACTCAGATACTCGATACGAATTGAACTTTGACACTGCTAACGAGCCAGATCTGTTAAACTGTATAACAAATTATTATCATTATCAACAAATTAACGACTATTCAATACATAACAGCATCCATCACCTGTTTATGTGAACTATCGAGAGCATGCTTACCTTCTTCACTGATTCACACGCAAATTGTAAAATTTATCCGTTTTAAACATTACAATCAAATTCATTGATGACATTTACCACAGTTTTAGTTAACCGTTTATTAATCAAATTGTGTAAAACACCCATGCAGATAAAAGGTGAACTGATGATTGTTATTTTCTCTATATATATATATATTACGGTCATGAGGCATTAAGGGAACATTCCTACGAGGAATGTCCTGTATGGGAGGTATTTTTCATGTATAGGTATGTATAGGTATATATATATACAGTATACATTTCAGCGTTATTGTTTTACTGCAGTGAAGTATTGTAGTCTTTAATCATAAAAAAAATACTTATAGTATCTATATAAGAGGATATTTTCCTTTCCCGTTTCACAATGAAATACTTTCATCCTTTTACACTCTGGATTTTGATGTTTAAGTTCAGTTGAGATTCACAAAAGAGTTGATCAATTATCTTCATTAGTCATTATCTGTTTAAAGGCCTTTGACTGTTCAAATCTATCGGACCGAGTCATGCTGCCCAATTTGACAAAGGGAGTAGAATGATAATGATCAGGGTATTCAAAATATTAACCATAGTATGGTATAACAATAACCGAATTTCTGTGTTGATTTGGGTACATATACCAGAAGCATTTTTCTAACCGAATACTGCAGACTGGTGCATGTAAGTTCCTTTTTCCATATTTTTTTTAAGTAGAAAACAAGTTCAATAACTTAACATTTGTATACATTTTGTCAGAACTTAAATCAATGTGACCTGGAACCCATACATGTGTGTATTAGTTAAAACACACCGTGTTTGAGTGTTAACAGTTCGGTCAGTAAATACCAGTATTGTTTGCGATATTTCTGGCACATTAAGTGTCTTCAGACTTGAAGTTACTGTGGTAAGTTTACATTCTGCCAACCGTGTTCTTTTTAATTTCTTTTTTTCTTTTTTTTTTTTTTTTTTTTTTTCGAAATTGTGGAAATGTTTAAAATAAGATAAAAAGTCACCATTTGAAGTTGAATCTATAACTCCTTTAGAAAATAGCGAAATTATAAGTTTATTTGGTCAAGAAATGGATAAACACATTGAGCTCAAATCTATTTATGGAGGTCGGGTGGCGCAGTGGTGATACATTTTTTTTTCGAAGAGCGGAAACGGAAAGAACGGAAAAAGGTACGGTATCATCTGCCCGGCAACGTACAATACACCTCTTCCGCGGTTTCCTTTTATATTAGGACTCCATGCTTCTCCGGACCACGAAAAGTAATTTATGTAATTTGATTTAAATATATTTCGAAGAAAGCAAAACATTTTAGATTATTATCACTCCTGAAATGAAGAACACAAATTTTAAATAGGTAAACATTTGCCCGTGCATACAAAAAAAGAAACAGACACATTCGATATTTTTCCAGATAATAATTCATGAAATCAAATCACCATTACAATGCCTGCTGCCTTCTTGCATACAAAATATTGCCAGTTCACTTTTGAAAGCTCAGAAAAAATCGCAGAAAAATAATACAAGTCTATCATGATGGAAAAAGTATTCTTCAATATTATAGTTTCAGTGAAACAGCAACTATATGGCTTGATATAGTTTATATTGATTAAAGTCCAGTCAACAACAGTAAAACATGCATAAAAACAGTGGAAAAAAGGAGTAGATTGTTCATAAACGAAACCAGGACACTTTTCGAAATTTCAAATTACCTTTATGCATGACAACCCCTTCCTTTCATATGACCTTCAACAGTCGATCCTAAATTATCTGGGAATGCATTGATCAGATCAAAGTGTCTTGTTATTACAACATAACAATGAATGTCGCATTCCAACCATTGTGAAAAAGCAACAGTACGGGTTTGATTGCAGCGACATTTTTTGTCACGAATCTCCTACTAAGATATGTGTGACATTACGTCTCAGTGTTACTGTTTTACTGCAGTATGGTACTGTAGTATTTAATTATAAAAAATATCTATAGTATCTATATAAGCGGAAATATTCCGTTCTCATTTTCAGAAACATATCATTCATATTTAACTGTTCCATTTGTATCCCGAAGCTAACTCTCTTTAAGGCTTAAGTATATTTACGTTCGCATAACGACGTAATCTCGCTACTGTGTACCTTAGAGTTAAAGTACAATCCTTTCGGGGTCTCTTTTTCGACTTATCCAGTCACCAGATCTCCTTTGACTTTGATTGTTTGTAGGACATCGTAACAAAATGATACATCGAAGTCATAAAAAGGGTACTGCTAATGTTATCTTTATTTTTCAGAGTGCTAACAAATGAAGATGTCTTATCGAATGCGATTTTCCATACTTGTAATGTTCACAACGGCCCTTGTGTCAACAGTGGTATTTACGTCGTCCTCCATACAAAAGACATTTTCAGGTGTAAAGACTTTTAAGGTTTGTGTTGGAATGGAATGTGTGCTGAATATCTTTTGAATGTGATATATCCTTGTCTTAAACAATTTTTGCATAAAATATAACATCGCAGACGTAGATTTGCACGAGGGATATGACTACATTTTTAAGACTGTAGGAAAATTCAAACAAACAATGTTACTTGTATCGAAAATGTGGCTTTTGCGTTTGATTGCTATAGAAAATATTAGGAAAATACCAACAGTTTCAGTAATCTCCAATGTGTTTTCCATGTGTTATATTGTTCCATATTGCTACAACCAAAGGGTCAGACAATGTTAAATCTTATGTTTCAATATTTTCAATTAGCCCAATCAACATGAGTATAGTAGTCGGGACATGCAAAACTAAAATAAGGCTGAAATACTCCACTCTTTCATTTTTACTCTGAATAGGTACAAGACCCGCCTACCACAAGACATGAAGAATTTCCGTCACTGAAGGTTGTATCTTACAAATATACATAATGATACACATTCATCTCTATAGTTTCTTTTAAAATATTTATCGCTTTTATATTACATAAATTAATTGGTAAATAGATAAATATACGCGATTTTTATATATGTTTAAAGTGAAAAGAGAAAACAGATTTCAAGTGATTCACTATATAATTCAATGGCTTATACTGAACGTTTTTGAAAACAATTTTCAAACACTAAGATGGATTTTTGTAATTATTTACCTATAATTATCGTTTATTATTTCTATCTCCCTGAAGAAAGCTTCTGGAGGGTATACGAGAGACCTAAAAGCGGTAAGCATACGTTGTACATATATATATATACATCCGCATATCTTTCTAAACATTAAAAATTAAAAAAAACTATAACTTGATATTATAACCCTAGTGTACCTATACAATGTTTATAGAAGTGGCAGATACAGTATATCATTGCATTGGATATGTACTGCATATTAATTGTTCTGAAAATCGTATGTTTCGTTTTGCTCATGTTGGCCTATAAAAACTGTTTCAATATTAAGTCGTCAGCGTGGTATTGTGTCTGAGGTATTGACATACTGAAGGCGAGTGTGGGTTTTTATTTATAATCATCACGTCTCAAACACACCGGAAAGGTCATTAAGGGCAATACAGGGTGATTTAAAGGCTGCAAACAAGTGGGGAGGTAACAGATAAGGTATCAATGGTGCATAGACGGAACTTTACAACTATGTAATTATAATTTCACTATCTGAATGTGTTATTATTTTCTGCATTGCTACGGAGACGATACGATGAAAATGTCATTATATTATTGCCTTTCCACCATTAATGGACTGAAATTGATTCAATTTCTTCATAAGATTTAACCACGTGATATATTAGTTCTTATTTTGGGGACGTTACATTGTCTCTTGGATTCACAAAGATTTACATGGGGCTGTCTTTGATAAAGCCTAAAACGCTTACCTGTTCAGAAGATCTGAAAGAAGTCTCCTTGTAGTTATTCCGGAATCACCATGCAACTTTTTTGTCGTAGTTTCATTTAATTTATATTTGAAATAACATTTTGTTAACATGTCTGTATTTTCTTTGTGGTTTTATAAGTAATTGTTCTATTTGTCTTTAAACATTACACATTCTTCTCTTTACTTATGTTTTATTTCAGGACATGCGTATTTCTGATGAAATAATGAAATGTGTCCTCAAAAGTATATCGAACCCTTATATTTACGATTATACTACTGACTTTTACCTGCTACCACCTGTGTCGGATCTCTGTAGGATGACTTTACCGGACCTAGAATTATTGTATCAACGGTAAGTTCTCTTTTAATCGTTATCAAACATATAGGTTGGCATGATTGGGCTGTTAATAATATGAATATTGAACTAATTCCTACAAGTCAATATCAGCGTAGGCTCGGGGCATTTTAAAAAAGAGAACATATGCTGAGGGCAGATTATATTCTAAAACAGAAAAAGCAGGCCTCTATTGGGAAATTTGGTTACAAATCTCTCTCGATTTCTGCCAACAGTACGGCTGCCGGAATAGATAGTGATAAAACAAAAAATAAGTTATGTAGAAACTGATAAAGTTCTACTAAGACAAAACAACGTTCCCCATACCATACTTTTTTCTCGTGCATAATCCCTATGCATAACTTATGCATTTCACATTTCCTTTTCCGTTTTGAAGAAAGCATTTACTTCTTTTTTTAGTGAGGGGGGGGTGGAGACTATGAAAATCCAAAATATCATCATTAACTTCGGTCGATTCATTCAGCCAATTGGTCTTACTTACCCACTATACAAGATACTATACGACACTGAATTAACAAAATCAACAGACATTTCAACTGCTGTTCTGCCTTATATGTTAGGCTGATCTTGGTATCGACATGACCAGATTGCGGTTGTTGTCGTAATTTCAGTTTTAAGAACAAGGAGTTATGTTACCAAATCAGTTTAGCAAACTAATGATATATTGTGAAATCCGAACGAAATGAAAGCTACGAATTATGTACTAATTAGTCATCCAGTCTAACAGCATCTAGGAATTATTGCCGGTTTCGTGAGATCAAAGGAACGTTGTCATTGGTAAATTCGGCGACGTTCGAGTAATTACCATAACAATGTGGTAACCAGAGTTAGTCCTTTTGTTTTACTCCATAACCATCCAGGGAGAAATATTATTAAATAATTGTTTTATTCTGCATTTTCATTTTCCGATACACGGTCACGTGTTCTACGATTTTTATTGATATTGCACTGTAAACCGGATAATTTATTATTTTGTACCGCTTTGTTCTTTTCCTAATAAAAAGATTTTCCATTTATTTTTTAACCAATCAAAAAAGTATTTCTTCAGCGCCCAGCATTTGTGATATTAGAAATGGAGGCAAATAGCCAGCAAGATGTCAAGGAACAAGCTAAAATTAAGCGGTTTGCCTCACTGTCAAAAGAAAACCGTTAATAATTGCATTAAAATAAACATTTTTGTCATATATTACACATAATTAGTATTAAAGGTTCGATAGGATCTGTAATGCTTGTTAGATATGAGATGTATGGTTAAAATTTTATATGAAATGTTATAAAACAATTATTGCACTATTATTGTATAAATATTTGAGAATTCATGGAGAACAAACAGAAATATCGACTGAGGCCGGATTAGTGCAACAATTCTAAAGTATATGACGTTGTCTGATTATATTATTACTGTACGTATCAACTACTTATTTTATAGATACCTAAGTACCATACAAACCGTATGTAAAACCCCACGGAGGTTCGGAAAGATTACGGATGGTGGATGGGATATATGTGTTGAACCAAAGTATCTCCCGAGAAATAAATGTCTGGTGTACTCTTTTGGGTAAGTATATCATTTCTTAGAAATGACACTTTATATAATCTTCTTACTGAGTGAAAAGACAGCAGTTGTAATTTGATAGTTTAACCTGTGCTGTTATCGCGTGCTGATATGGATATGGATTCGTTTTACCAGTGAAACAAAAAAAATACCAAATTGAATTATTCATGATTATGAAGTTATGAAGTATTCCATTCCATTCGTATGTAAAAATTGATCGAGATAAATTGAGATTGATCACTGAGTGTTTAATCCATACATTCTGACGATGTTAGTGTGTTCTAACTGCCTTCGCCGTTACACAATTTTGCTAAATGTGTTTGTTTACAGGGACTGTTGATATAAACATATTTATTTTTTCTTAACTTGCAGTATTGCTAATGACTTTTCTTTCGATGACGACATTGCTCGTTTTTACAACTGTGAGGTTCATTCCTTTGATCCCAGGTGAGGTTTTAATGCATCAAGTATTGTTTAACTCAAGTTTGCTTTTGATGAGTGGGTTGTCTTTTGCTTGGTGAGACACACATTTGAGGGTGTGCATGTATGCTGTTAGCTGTCTTTCTGCTTCAGATGTATAACTCCATTCTAGTAAGCCATGTTTGCTATTCTCTCAGTAAAAATTAAGAAAAATAAAAGTCGACATTGAAACAATTTATTACGGCATTATCAACGTGTTTTGTGATCACGTGTTTTTCATTTTCAATCAGAGACTACGACCATCTGTAACAATCACAGCTCAGCCTGTCGAGCAGTAGAAATGATATGTATTTATTGAATTTATGGTTTGATTATGATGCTATTGAAATATTGGTATTTTCTCTTTTTACACTACATCTGACCCCAGTCAGGTTTACTAACCAAAAAGCAATGTACTGGATTGGAAACCAGTCTAAGTCTTAATGATTTCCTCCTCATTACAAACACTCGAACGACTTCCTTTTGCATCCATTTTATTTTGTAAACGGGAGATGTCACTAAATAAGACAAACATATTTCATGCATTATGTTGCTGTTGTAGCTTTTAAACTTGTTCAAAACCTGTTTAATCTTTTTTTCAAATAGCATGAGGAAAAAAGGATATGTTAGAATCAAGGATCAATCATATTTTCACGATACTGGCCTTTCTCACATCACCCGTTCAAATCCAGAGGGCAATATGTGGCGCATGCAGACATTTTTGGATATTCGAACAGAACTGAACCACTTAAAGGTAGGCTACTCCAATAAACAATCAAATTGATCAATCAATTGATCGTATTTTCCGAAACCTGCACCCCTGGAACATGGCATGGCAAAATGTAAACTACCATGTTTAACTCCTTGTGGACGAAAAAGACTAGTTTGATCCTTTGTACATCAAACGAATATTTAGAACACAAGGTTTCGTACGAAACCATGTGAAAATATTCTATAAAACCTATATATACATATCTATATATAGCAAAACAGATAGGGTATAAGAATGGTAACAGCGTCCTCCGTTACACGGAACTAAGATGTGAAGAAATCTGTCTTCTTCCTGAAGCAGTAGACTCACGCGAACACACTTTACATACGCAAAAGAACGTCCGTCCTGAAGATTGTATAAAACCCCAGAGTCACATACAAAAGAGTCAAACAATGAATTTAACTGTATCATACAGCTGTTTCATCAATCTTGGACTCATCAGTCTAGAAGGCGAATGACACGAGTTGTGGTCGTTAACAAAATAAAACACATGATAAACCACTTTATTTGAACAGAGTATATCTTCCTTTCATATGTCTAATAGTATATTTGTATGCATTCTGTATTTCTGTAGCGGATGCCAAACGTCGTCAAGATGGATATAGAGGCCTGGGAATGGAATGTACTTCCGGAAATGTTTGCTGCTGGACAATTCCCCAAGCAGTTGATTATCGAGTTCCACTTGTGGTCTCAAAAGTACACTACACAGCGGGACATGTGGATACATCGCCTCTCTGTTCTCAGAAATGTTTATGATGCAGGTTATAGAATATTTTGGATGAACAGAAACCTTATCTGTAGATACAAGTCGCTTTACACAAAACAACCAACACTGGCATGTCACGAGATTTCTTTAATACGGAATGGGCCCAATATCACGATGAGTTCTAGTGACTGATTAAAATGGTATTGATAAATGAATTTGTCGGCAAACATATGTTCAACTCTTTTACAAAATATGGATAAACTATGACACATACTCTTGAATGTGCAAGCATTGATGTTCATGTAGCATCATTGATGTGTTATTGCGAAATATGAAATAGTGATTTTTTACATAATAAATAGGAATACCCTTGTTGCTCGGATACTGATTAATTTCATATTTTGATAATATGACAACAATCTGACTAGCACGAGAGGTGAAATGGTAAACATTGCAATATGATCAATTTGTTGGTACTATAAATGAGTAATCGTATCTAATAAATGAACCGAATACGTCATCCGGAAATAACGTCACGAAACTCAATTAATGAGATGTAACAACCTGACTACAGACATGATAATATTCATTACCTGAGTGAAAGAATATTCGATGAAGCTGTACCTTTACGTACACGCGGGCACATACTTGAAATAAAGTTTCAATAGCATGCCACGAACGTCTGACCATTAGAACTGAGTAAAATCGACACGAATTATCGGCAGGAAGGGGTCTAGCTCTATTTATTAGTTTCATTTATATTATCGATATATTTGATGAAATAAAGAAACCATTCAAAATGTAAAAATAATAATTCTCGTTGAGGAATATTTTGCTAACTTATTCTGGGCTAGCAGAATGGCGACTCAGGACGGCCCTATTGGCCGCTAACGGAATTACAGAAAGGACTGCATATTTAGTGAATGTTGAGGACAATAAGCTTGTTACAGCTAGATGTCATCAATGTCTTTGAAGGAGTCTGTGGTGTCAGATCATTGTATTGTATGTCATAAGGTAATGACAATTTGAAATGAAGTACATGACAATTAGAAAAGATGAGTCACTTGTGTCACTCATTAGATCACGTGTTAAGAGACTGCCCCGAGTTTTCATGTTTCAAATGTAAAGGTCAGGGTCACAACGCTCGTAATTGTACAATCCTACCGTGTTCACGATGTGGTACAATAAGAGTAAATTGTAGGTATAGTGAACTGCTTATATTACCGTTGTGTGCAAGATGTGGTGAACGAGGTCAAAATTGCTCGTGTTCAGGTGCGGATAGCGAGTTTGGAGTTGATATGGAACAAGACAATTTCACATGTCACATCTCACATAAAGGTTAGCTACCGAAATCTATGAAACACAACTCGGAGTCATAAGCTTAATTCCCCAGTATTATCTCCCTTCATCAAATCTGCGGTGTCATCGAGCAAACTATAGCAGATAATATTTCCTGTATCAGGGATATTATGGATCTTCTAGAATATAAGTTAGAAGGTTACAAATCATATTCATTTTGAGAAGGTACTTCAGAAATTCGGATTTAGAAAATTCTTCAATAGTTGTTTTACAATGGCATTCATAGCAGTGTTAAATGTATTGAATTTTTAAATCAATATTTTCCTTTTTTGATTCAGAAAAAGGCAGGGATGTCCCATCTCTGCAATGCTGTTTTAAAGACAAAGCCTCTAGGTTAAACAATTCTGAATAATGGTAATAGTCTTGGGATTCAAGTCCTTATATCGGGCAGTGAAGTATTTCAGCACGTGTAATGATAGTGGTGTGTAACCATGCAGACTTTGAGTGTTTGTTGTGATAACGTCCCCTTACTTGTAACTCTCGAATAAGGAGGTAATAAAAATCAGTTGTTCTTATGTTCAACGTACACATGGCGTTGTTGAGTTTATGGCCAGTGCCCTAAATGATAAGTTGTATTACTTAGAAGTGATAACACCACAGCACGAAACTACATTAACGTTATCTAGTAAACAACCAATAATGCAAGTTCTCAGTGGGAAAATACGGCCGATCATCAGGAGACAAGGTCAATATAGAGAAACCCTATGTGGTGTGTATTGGTACTAGTATAGTGAGTGAAACAGAAGCTCGTGAATTTCACATGTTACAAGATGCAATAATCGTACTGGGTGTATATTAAGGTTCGGATGTTAAAGGTAAAATTAATTCGATTGCAAACTCTTGACGATATCTAACGATCAAAAGGCGTTATAATTATATCATCGCTGTTAGTTTCAAAATGTTGGCCTGTCTTGTCTGTTACTTCAATATTCGAAAAATACAAGGTCCAAATTAATGTGTTTAACTTTCTTTAGTGAACACTTTGTGACGTATATAACAATCAGGCTTCAAACATAAAGGTGGTCTACACTTCCCAGACATTGATTTTTTTCCTTCATTGCGAATATGAAGCTCGGACTTTCCTATTTATATTCCAATTTCAAAACGTCGCAGTTGAAATGCACTCTTGCTTTTTACCGAGAAATATTGTTTGCTTGGTCAGATATGTTTTTAAGTTATTAAAATTTGAGGAAGCTAGTGATAACTTGTCAACCTGTATTGATCTCACAGTAGAGAATAACTGAATAACGCTGTGTTTAGTAAAACAGTTCTTGTATACGTGAAGGATAATACGGAGTACTTCCAAGTTTGCTTTCATTATAATCCATTGTCGAAATAATCCAGGAATTTAATCCGGACATTCTGCGAAAAGACATTATTTCACAGTACATTAATATAACAAAATGTTTCCCAGAGAAAATACTCACAAATGTTCTAGATTATAGCCATAGATAAAACATATGTTTTATATCACGTTGTATTACTACTGAGATCAGACACCATATCTCTACGTTCTACACGTGATATATACTCTGTTCTGGTAAGTGGGGCATTTGTCACGCTGGTAGCGGTTGAGGTTTGGAGTAATTAGTTTCCAAGAGAACAGGTAGATCGGGTATTTCGATTAACCCATGCCCCTAATTACCCGGTAGATGTCGCGGAAATACATTTAAAAGTTGCTCTCAATATATTTTTTACTCAGAAGAAGCTGATATTCGGATAACTGCCCGTTTGTTGAAATGCATCAGACGATTTCTGACACATGTTCTTGGTTTGCAGGATTTTTTAAAAAAAAATCTAGAATGCTTGACTGACCAATTATTGGCAAATGCAAGTGTTATGAATGTAAACAGTATCAATTTTGATCGTCTCGAACAGTAGAGGAATGTTAATAGCAATATTGTGACTTCACATAGAGCATTGCTGGATACTTATTCAAGAGAAGAAATCTTGTAATGTGCAAGTAAGAAAATGTTAACATTTTCAAATTCTATGAATTTACTATTAAGCGGTTTTATAAAATACCTTTTTACACATTCAATTGCCAAAAATAAGAAAGGAATATTTGTATTTTGTTGCTGGTAATAACAAGGTTTATTTTTAATGCATTTTAATACGTAAATTCCATAAAATGTGAAATGAATGATATCATAAGTGTCAACGGTGTTTAATCTAATATAGGATATTATTATATGTTTTGTGAGGAACCTTTGGGACCCTATCCCCCACGACTCTATGATTGGAACAGTAAATGATTGAATGATCTATCAATTTCAAGATAGTTGCCTTGAATATCCATTAAAACTATAGATAAATCGTACACTAATTGGATTCAGTTAGGTAGTTATTTACAAATCATCAAAGCACAAATACAATTCTTTATGGCAAGGACGGATCGAATACGATTTAACGATTGACTACAATGGCGATTAATGCATTTACTGATTTCAATGTAATATCAACGATCTAACATAGTTACAATTCCGAACTCTTAGTTAATATTGTAGATGTAAGGGTTATCATTCTGTAATCGGAAGGTGGGACTGGTGTCAGTAACGCTGTATCAATGTACAAATGGTATGGATATTTTACTTGCACTTTCGCGATATTATGAACCGTGCACTTTTCAGTTTTTAAGATGTATTTTGTAAGAATATATTTATTTAGCCATGAAATTCTAATAAATATCTCTCTCTCTCTCTCTCTCTCTCTCTCTCTCTCTCTCTCTCTCTCTCTCTCTTACTCTCTGAATTAAGAATGATATGTATATAATTATTTTGAGCCATCTTGAAATGTATATATGCAATTGTTTTTCTTCTAAAAAGAAAAGGCGTCAATAATTTTAATGTAACTTGCGCCCAATCCTTTTACTTCACGGCAATAAAATATGTAAAACCTAAAAACCACCAACTGTCTCTTCATTGAAACTTTGGATCCGTTGTTGTATATCTTGTTCATTTTAGAAAATGGCATTACTTACTTGGATTGGCTAAGATTTCAATGGCGAGTGTCGTACATGAAGCAGAAGACGTTTACTATTCCAGAATACCTGATCTTACTCATCTTGCAAATTTCCAAATCCAATTTCTTTTGTCCATATTTTGCCTTAGTTGTATTGACTTTGTGTTTGAAGAGATTATTAAATTTTGGAATATTTATACATAGTATTTTTGCTGCCTTGCATGAAGGGGAATATATATTTTATAAATGGTTTTGGCCCCTTGAGGTGGGAAGGGCGGGGTCTAATAGGGGAGTCAAAAAAATACTGTAAAATCCTACTCCTCCTGTAGGAATGATTGTATTTTATACAAATTTTGTCTTAATCATGTTTTATTAAAGAGGAATCGGTTGTGTATATACGGTCGGTCTCGGTCCCTTCGAGCGGGAGGAGCTTGGCCCAGTAGGGGAAATAGAGGCAATTATCTTAAGTCCTACTCCTCCTGTAGGAATGATTGAATTTTGCACAAAGGAGGAGTGCCAATTTGGGCCTTCTGGCGGCCATGACCGATATTTTTTATTTCTTGTGTAGGAATTCCTTGGGGTTAGGCGGTCATGATATGACATAAAATTAAGGTCAGATCTGAGCCATTCATTAGTTATGGGTGGGTAAAGTGGGGGGTAAAATTCATAAACAGCTCCATTATGACAAACCTACATTATATTTTTGGATTTTTTCTTCTTAATTTTCATGTAATAATCCATATCAAAACATTCATTAGTAAAATTGATTGAAAAAAATATTCCATTGTTGAAAAGTAGGTCATGGTAATTAAGCTCATTAATTGCTAATTATATTAAAGATGAACTTAATTTTCTGCCTTAATGCTTATAAA